TTTATAAAGTTAAATTGAGCAGATATGAGTGCCTGGATGGTGTGACTAACATTCCAGGTAGAAAGAAGCAAAGCATTAAGCACACTGACTCCTAATATCAATTTGCTTTTTCTTAATACTGTCTAAATTTTGAAAAAGCTCTGTTAAGTGAGTTATCTGAACAAAGTGGGTATCCTAGGAAGGAAATGAAGTAAGCGATTCTGAATACTAGCTAAGCAAATCTTAATTTCCAAATCCTCTAGACAACCGGAATCTCCACCTAGAGAAATGGAAAATAAATAAATAAAATTTTATCCTCACTTATGAAATTATCTTTGTCATTACAAGAGTACTTTCACAGTACCATCAACATATTGCTTGTCTCCCTGAGCCATCGCACCATTAGAAACATTTCTTTTCTGGAGGGAGGTGTCGAATGTTCTGTTGGATACAGTAGTGTTGGACAGTTCAGTCTTAATTCACGCTCTAAATTCTGTAGCAATTCAGATATTTCATTTTTGCAACTTAAGTTCCTGTGCCCATTTTGGTATGTCTGCCAAATACGGAATGATGAAAGCATTTTCTTTTTCTTTTTTTTTTTTTTGGTACCAGGGATTGAACTCAGGTCTTTGCACTTTCAAGGCAAGCAGCAGAACTGCTGAGCTAAATCCCCGGCCCAAAAGCAAAAGAAATCTTTCGAGACTGCAAATTGCTTCTAGTGCTGCCATTGCCATTTCCAAGATGGTTCACTGGGCTCCGTGGGAACTTTCTTCCCCAAAGAGCAGAGTAGATGAGGTGATAATCTTAGGGCCCTTCCATTTCCTAGCTCCCTGGCAGGCACAGGAAAGCTATAATTATTTAGTCCCCTTGTCCTTTCTTGTCTTTGAACAGTGTCTTAATTTTTCTTTGTCAGGACTCTGGGGTCTTGTCACTGGTCAACTGTTCTCTATCAGCCATATCATCCTGAGGAGGTCTTGCTCTGTCAAAGAATCCGCACTGTGAAAAAGAAAAAAACAGATTATAGGGTCAAGCCAAAGCCCTTACTCAAAGAATGGTCACTTTATATGAACTTGGAGCTCTGTGAATGTAATCTGTTCAATTCTCCAAATTAAGAGATGCGAGTAATGTGTTTGTTAGTTGCCTAGAGAAAAGAATTCATTGCACAGGGCAAGGTGAGCAGGGGGACAGCATTTGTGTCCTCTGACCACGAAGAGATAGTAAAATATCTCTATATTTTTTGTTTTCATAGTACTGAGGATTGAACAGAAGGCCTTCACAATGAGCTACATACATCCCCAGTCACCCTCACTCTTTTTTATCGTAAGATAGTATCTTGCTAAGTTGTCTGGGCTGAGCTTGAACTCACAACCCTCCTGCCTCAGCTCCCTACATACTGGGGTTACAGGTGCGTGTCACTACATCAGGCTGTCTGAGTGTCCCTATGTCATACAGACCACTCATGCACCTTGGCTATTTCCTTAAGATTCTAGCAGCATGCCCCAGAGGTTCCCTTCCTGCTTTTCTGCAAGTTTGCTGAACAGTACTAACTGTTGAGCAGAAACAGGACATTGTCTCCTGCTGTGGACTCCAGGTGACCCTGGGAGGAAACGAGGAGATCATGGCTTAGCGCCCCACACTTGGTGGGACACACAGTAGTTAGAGGAGGATGCATCTGTCCTTTATCTCAATCGCAGGACCAGTTAGGTATGAATACTCCAGTGACTTTCCACAGATTCACCAGCAATTGTGCGAAGAAATCTTTCTAGGGCTTTGTCCCCCTTGAATTTCAAATTAGTATTCTGCCAAGGAGAATGTGTCTTTTGCTAGAACCCTGGAACCTCAATTCCTATTTATCTCTTCTTATGTTGGAAACCCAGTTATGGGCTCTTCTCCAGGGTTAGGGGAATAGTCTGTCGATCGGAATATATGATTGTACTTTGTGTTTCTTGGATCTATAATAGTTACTATAAACAGACAGTAACACAAGAGTCATTTCTAAATGTGTGCCATTGATTCTGGGGGCTCAGGGTGGCGCAAAACAGCTGATCATTATTAGAAGAGCTATTATTTAGTACAAAGCCAAAGCCTTCCCAATTTGTAGGTCTATTGAGCATCCTGCACATTGTTTCAAAATAAAAATACACTATGTTTTTAGGGGACCATGACAATAACAGTTAACTAATATGCGACTGGATTAATCCCTTCCATAGTCATGTAATTGTGACACTGGCATCTGGAATGGGAGGCTCCATGCGGCTTGGCAGTTGTGTAATTTGCTGAGCCAGAAATTAATTTCTATTGTATTCTTTTAGAACAAACCTCAGCAGAGCACATCAGAGACTAAGGTAATGCTTCCTAATGAAGACAGGCTGGGCATGGCAGCGCCTGTGATCCCAGCACTCTGTGAGGCTGAGGAAGGAGGACCACGAGTCAAGGGCTGGCCCAGGCAATTTAGTGACGTAGTGAGACCCTGTCTCCAAAAATAGAAAAAATCAAAATTAAAAGGGCAGGGGATGTAGTTTAGTAGGAAGGCACTGGGTTCAAATTTGTTTTTAAAGACAGACGAATAGACAAGATTACAAAACAAGTGTAAGCACCTGATAGCATGCATGATCTACTGGGCCTCATTAATAATCAAAATTAAAAATACGATCGACCTATATTAATTGCATGAGTGCAGTGCTTATAAAGAAAAATCTCAAAGGATTAATGACAGGATGATAGAGAAGCTTATGACCTTGCTTAATTAAACCAGAAAGAAATGTTCCTATTAACAGTACTACTCCAAACCAAGGGGAAAGATCGCAGGTCTTGCTTGGTTACAAATCTCAAGATTAAAACAATATCAAAGACTACTCGTCATCTTAAACATTAGCTACATGGATATGTGAAGTGAGACAGAGCAAACAAGACACTTTTTTCTGCTTGTCTTTCAGACCTTTCTAAACCTCCAAATTATTCCTTTAACAGTATCTTTCAAACTCCCCCAACAATATCCTTCTAAAGCCCCTCAGTGGCCACCGCAGTGCAAAAGGAAAACAAAGGAAATCATCTCACCTTCCACAAAGCTAAGGTCAAAATGGCCAGAACCAACAATCCCAGAAGTATTGCCAGTATTATGACCCACAACGGGATTGAGAAGGAAACATTTGGAGTTGCCCAAATAACTGACGTCTTAATCTGAAATGAAAATAAAGGAAATGAGTTCTAACTTGAAAACTGGTGAAGCACATAGTCACTGCCAGGGTAATACTGAGGATCATTCTGCATTACTCTATACAATAACTGAAATCATCCACAGGGAAGTTTGTGGGGTTGTAGCAGTCAGGCATAGTTTTTTCTTTTTTCTTTTTTGGGTTTTTGAGACAGGGTTTCACTATGTAGTTGAGACTGACCTGGAACTCACCATGTAGCCTAGACTGGTCTCGAACTCATAGCAATCCTCCTGCCTCAGCTTCCCAAGTGCTGGGATTACAGGCATGTGCCACCACGCCTGGCTCAGACATGGTCTTTTAAGAAGAAGCAAGTTCCTGGGTCTGGCAAGTTGGGAATTCAAGAATAGAAATGAAGTGGAGGGAGAGAGGCGGGGAAGGAAGGGGAGGTTGTGATGCACGATTGCTTAATAGTGACTGTCACAAAAGACTGCCAGGACCACTACCTTGCACCAAGGCCAGGATCATATTCAAAACACTTCTGCACGTTGTCTGCCCAGCAACTGTCTATTCAATTTCAGAATAGCAATTCCCTGGCTAGTAATCCATGTGGCTAATGATTATCCTTTCAAACTATTTTGTGAGATCTTCCTCATTTTGCTATTAAAAGTTTCCTCTGCCTCAATATCTTTGAAAAAAAAAATCATAGTTGACTATAGCATGTGTTTTCCCATTGCAATGCTGTTCTATCCCCAAGCAAGTAACATTATTCCTTGCAGAATTGTTCTCTGATTGTTATTTGCCTTGACACCATAAGGCACAAAGTAAATATTGCCCTGTTACGTTGGAGCAGCCTTCAATCCTAAATCCACTTTTGAGGCGCCGAATTGAACTGAGGCTTTGGACGTTGGAGCTGATTTCATTTCCCACTATTGCAAAAAGAGCCTGGAGGAAAATGAGATGCTCCCACATCACAAGCTCAGTGTCTAAGAACCTCCTTCCGCTCCCCAGGTAGGCAGAAGGAACACTTCTATTGCTTGTATGTTGGGAGCTTGTGCATGAAAGCTGTAGACCTCCATGCAAAATCAAGGGGCAACCCAGCCATTTTGCTAAAATCTGTTGTCAAACAAAAGAGAAAGAAACCTATTCTTGGAACCAGACGTTATTTACCAACACAGGCATATCTGGTTTAACAGAGTAACAAGCATTGCTTCCACTAAATTGGTCTACGTGCTCCTCGTTGTCAGTGTGGTTAAAATTTGATCCACTTTCAATCCTGGAACATGCTCAGGAACTCTAGACCATAATTCTAAAGACCACCCCCTCAGAACAGAATGAAACCACGACAAATGTTGGTGCCTCTAGAACTTGTTCTGTCAGGGAATCACCTAACTCTAGTGTTGGGCTTTAGCCATGGGCCCCCTCTTCTTCCTCTGCCTTCTTAACTAGATATGAGGGCTCTGCTGATGTTCTTCTGGGCTCGTCCTGGTTTTTATTGCCTCCCCCATCTCAGTCAACTTCCTGTATGCAGCACACACCACGATGCCATCATTCATTCGGTTCTGCAGCCCCAACTATCATTTCTGTGTAGACCGAAGAGCGGAATCGACAAAGTAAGGAGCCTGATGGTGGCTCCGTCTTGACAAGAGTGCCGGGGACTTGACAGATACTCTCGATGAGGTCGAGGCTGGGTTTAACCTACTCACCATTCTACTTTCTCCCTCTCCCTTCATTACTGCTCTTCGCCAACATTATCTCTATTTCATCTGACTTATCAGTAAGAAGGGGCCTTCCGGAGAGGACATTCCACCGTTGCACACTGAGAGACACATTACTCACATATTGAAGAATTTTATTTCAAGGACTCAAAGCATTTGTAATGCGTTCAGGATTCCACAGCCTAGCTAGTTTATTCTAAAGCGATCCTTTGCATATCTATGGTGACACGAGCAAATTAGGACCTAGTTATTTCTCTGCATATCCTTTTACCTTAGTTAATTACCTCTCAGGACATCGACGCTCAATCCTAGCATTCTCAGTAATCCGAGAAAGGCGTGAAGTAGTATTTCCAAATGAACTTAACCTTCCTGGAAGTGGACGGATGGTTTTAGTAATGAGAATTCAGAGCTTTGAAACTGAAAGGGACGATAATGATCATTTACTTACAGGCCAGTTTTAATGACCCAGGAAAAAGAAATCTGGAGTCGTCGAAATTGTTGTTTTTCTTTTTTAAATAGAAGATGTCTTCCCCTTCTGTTCTAAGTCTACCAAGGAAACCACACACTTTAAAATCTATATTTTGTGCCTGTGTGAGAGTGTGTTAAAATTTGCTAGCCAGAAATTCAGGTAAGAGAAGCAATGGATATTTCTGAACCTTTACTCTCTGGACTTACCTAATTCAAATTTTAAGTCACCTGCAGCTATTTCATTTCAAATTGGGAAAACAATCTTGGTTTTGTGAATTCAAAAAAATTCTAAAGGAGTTGAAATAAGGGGCCCAGACCCTTCAGTTGTTATGATTTTAATACAAAGGAAACGGAATGGAATGAGTGAATGCCCACTGAGTCCTCTGCCTGGTACGTTTGCCACTTGCTTCCTGCAGGCTTTGATGCATGGTCCATAGCACTGGTCTATCTATATAGAAACAAGCCTGGAGAGCCCCTTACAAAGAGCTAATGAAGATACTGGGAGGGACTTCCTGCTATGTAAAAAAGTACAATTAAATAAAACATGAAATTGACAGCATACACTTAACAGGGTCCCTTGAAGCCAGGAACAGCTTTATAGGGACAGTTACAAAACTGGTTGGGTTTTTATTTAAGCCTTGCAACACTCTGCGAGGAGATGGTAACTATACAGTGGTCCAAAAATCTGAAATTCTTTCTCCATCCCAGAATTCTGAAATTTTCATTATCAAAACAGCTGCCGGACTGCTTTGCGGAACATTAGATTCATTTTTGTAAAAGCCCCAGACCTTTCTCTGAGTACTTTAAAGTGGTAGAATGACGCATGCCATGCAGAGTTCTTGCAAGTAAGCTTATGCAATTCCCTAGGGAGAAGGATCACAGTCTTTAAAGGTACACAATTCAAGTGTCTCCCTCGAGCCTGGTTCTGTTTTCCTCCATCTCTATCTTTAGGACACCTGTGGGGTGCTGAGGCTGCCCAGTCTCAGTCTAAAATGGACCCAGCTGCAGAGAACTTCCTTTGCCCTGGTGCCTTCCTGTATTTATCCAGCCTTGTTGCTTCATAGTGGGAAAGTCACTATATGGACACCAAGGTCAGTGGAAATACTGAAAACCAGCAAAACCCAGAGCATTTCTTCAGACTTTCAATGTGGAGAGGACAGACAGCTACTGGAAAGAGTTGAATATAGCACACGATTAAAAGAGTCCCATATACATCTAGGAAAGAAAGGTCCTCCTGAGAAGAAAGCACCAGGGAGTCATGTGACATATTCAGGTCAGTAACTCAGCCAATTCCAATGGGTGCTTCATCTGTAGGTAGAAACTTACTGCTCTGCACAGATAAAGTGAGCTTAACAGGGAAGAATTTAATCAATCATTTCCATAGGACCCAAGTTTGTCTAAATATACACTGGTGATGGAGAATGGACTAATTTGGGGAAAGTGTGAGCAACAAGTAAAATACTGACAAGTCTAAAAACTTTGCTGTTTTTAATGTTTCTATTTGTCTCATAATTCATTTTAACAAGTCTACGAAAAGCTTACCTTGGCATTAATTGGGCCCATTATTTTTAGTTTCTAATGACCAAAAACTGACTTAGAGCAAGAAATGTTCATTCATTTCAAATAATACTTATCAAACTCTCCAGGATCTCTGAAGTCCCATGGGTCCTACTGTCAGTTTTAACCTTGGCTCTTGATCAGTGCTGCCCAATAAAAGTATAATACAAGCCACAACTGTAAGTTAAAATTTTCTAGTAGCACATTAGAGTAACAGTACATGTGGTAATCACTTTTAATAATATAATTTATTTAACACTAAATACCAACTATTATCTATTATTATAAACTTACTATTTCAGTGAGTAATTGATATAAAATATTCATAATTTGATAAAAATTTAAAGATATTTTACTTTTTTACTGTCTCTAAAATCCAGTGTGCATTTTGCATTGGCAACATATAATTATTGCTAAAATTTCAATGGTAAACATGAAATGTAGTGCTACAAAATCAATAAAGCTATGTTTAATGGAGAAATATTTTATATGCATCAGTGTTTCCATTTTCATTTCAATGAGTTAAAGTACAGTGAAACTCTAAGTTCGGTTCTTTAGTTCCCCTTGCTACATTTCAGAAATGAAATGTCCACAAATGACGAGCAGTCGCTGTACTGCACTGTACAGCACCGTAGCATTTTGTACAATGGTGAGATTAGCTGAATTACAAAGTCCTTTATTATAAAATTCTTTCACCAAAACAGTATCCCAAGGCAGAAGACGGAATTCACGTAGCACTAAAAGTTTCTTTTCAAAATAAGAGCTTGGGGCTCTATGTCAACTTCTTTTAAAAAAAGATTAATGTTGAATAACTAGGGTACTTAAAATTTAGGGGGGAAATTCATTTCCATGTCAATGAATCAACAATCTGTTTTAATACTTTTCCATTTAGTGGAATCTCTGTACCTACTGCAAGAAATGGTGCAAAAGTTTAACGACTCACTTATTACCATCATTTAAAATCTCAGGGAGTGAAATTCTTAAATGGTAAGCAGTTTAGATTTTCTGAAAGTGCTGTTAAGTGAGGAACATTTAATTTTACCTTCGTTGTGTTGTAAATCGTGTTGTTCTTTATTACAGGTGAAAGGCCATAAATAGACTTTTAAGGTGTCTACATTTTATCATTGACATTTGATATGTTTTTGTATATTTTCACAATAAAAATACCAAGGTAGGATGAAAGAGCTCCCTTGCCTTTGCAACTTTAATTAATGTTGACATCTATATTTATTTATCGCAAGATCGTCTGTAAACATACATCAGTGGGATCAGAAGAATGTTTTGAATAATTGTACCAAGACGCCCCACTTGCAGTGCCATTTAGTAAATGTGTAGTGCACACATTTAATAACATTTAGAGAGCTCTTCTGAGAGAAGTAGTCCCTACAATAAATCTGTGTTCCAAGCAGTTGTTTCATATAAGAACCCCATTTTCAGGTGTCAAAATTTTGCTACAAATTCTGCAAATCAAATGGATTTGCAGTTTACAGATAGGTTTGTAAATAAGAATTCCCACGAAATATTTTATGATAAGCACCTCTGGAATTATGCTTTTTTCTGTATATAAATTGGATATTAGCTGCATGGTGGGCAAGTGGCAAGGTTCACTGGTGAGCTAAAATATTGTGCAAACAGCTGAATCACTTCTTCGCCACGATTCAGTGGTCATTCGTATCCCTCTGAATCACAGCTTTTGTCTCACCTCTGAAGGGGACAAACGTCATGTCACAGAGGTTCATTTGTTATAAACACAGATGCTGTTTGGGAGCAGATGGAAACTACTTTTCCATGTGTGAAGCTTATTTAGGTCTCAAGTGATGGCTGAATTATGACCATCTTGAAAAGGAAGAACCAGCAAACTAACCATCACACACAGGAGTCTAGGAAAACAAGTATATACTGTTTTGTCTCATGATGTTGAAGGCTTTCCCCCAAGGCCCTGACGGCAACCCTGATGATCCTCAGACCATCTCTTCCAACTGAGTCTATGACCTTACAGGAATTCTCTTCTGCTAGGATATTTCTGAGGGAAAAGTGACAAGACCTGAGGAGAACTTGCTAAAAAATCTCCGCCTGCTCCAACCAGAGCTCTCTTATCAAATCAAGCCACAGAAAGACTTTCCCTGTACTTCACAGATAACTTTCTGCTAGGATATTTCTGAGGGAAAAGTGACAAGACCTGAGGAGAACTTGCTAAAAAATCTCCGCCTGCTCCAACCAGAGCTCTCTTATCAAATCAAGCCACAGAAAGACTTTCCCTGTACCACACAGATAACTTTCTGCTTGCAAGATCTCTAGTTAGATATTGGGGGACTTGAAAGCACTTCCATTCCTAAATGTTTTTCCAATAATCTTCACATACATGGTGTGGTAAATCATCTGCATTAGATAACAGGTCTCTTTTTTCCCCCCAATAAGGTAACAGGTGGTGCAGGTAGAGGAAGCAAGCATTTGAGCATTTGAGCATCTTTTGAGATGAGCTGAGAACAGCAGGCTGTCACCTGTGGCCAACACAGAAAGAGGCAATCCTGTTCATGGAATCAACTGTAACATGTGTTTCTGTTAGGAAACATGTGCTCGGAGAAAACCAAAGGGCCTGGATTTATATCTCTTAGAGCAATAAGCCTTTGAACCTCTTTGCATGAGTACGCCATATTAAAAGCCCAAAGCCTCTGTTTTCTGGGCTGATCATAAATCCAATCTACGGCAGACAGCTCGTGAGAAAATGAGAGTGATCTAAATGAAGAAAGATGTGGCCAGGCTGGCTCTAAAATACAGCGACTGTGCCCATTGTAACTGTCATTTCCAATGTGGGCTGAGTGGATGTAGCAGAGAAGGTGAGGCTTTTAGGAAGATTATTAAGATTACTGTAGAGACTCCCTTGTTCCAGGTGCGATACTAGAGCTCTATGTACATACCTTTCTTAATCTTCTTAACAATTCCATCAGGTGGGTATATAGCTTAGATCTAAAATGTGCTCCCAAATTCTCATGATCAGAGGAGGGGCTTCTGAAAAGTGACTGGATGATGGATGTGCTATGCTACTTAGTTGTTTAATTCACAGAGGAATTCATAGCCGAATGTGTTGTTCAGAGGTGGAACTGGAGGTGGAACCTAGAAAAGGAAATCTTATCCCCATTTCTCTCTTCTCTCTCTGCTTCCTGGCTGCCAAAGGTTGAACACCTTTCCTCCACCAGGCCCTTTTACGGCACCTTTCTTGCCTTGGAGCTAGAGGAGGGTGGACTGAACCCTCTAAAACCGTAAGCCAAAATAAACCTCTCCTCTTTTGAGTTGTGTGTGTCTCCCAGGTGATGCTCAGGATAAACTAGTTTCACTACCAAATCCGCACTTGTAAGGCTTTTAAAGTACAGCCCCTCAGTTCAGATACTTCAAGTGAGGTCTAAGCATGTGTATGCTTTTATATATTTGCATGAGTGATAATTCTGTTATGTGCGACAAGTTGAGAATCACTTATCAGTAGATTAATTTAAATTGCTAAAAGTAAATTAGGCTACAGAGGCTAATGTAATGAAGTTTGAAGACCTGGGTTGCGAAGAGAAGACAACAGGATCAATTTATACACCACCTATAAAGTAGTGCTTCTTAACCACGACCGCACATATGGATGCTTTGATGATTTTGATAAAATGCAGATTTGGACTCAGCTGGCCTGGAATGAGACCTATTTTTGTATTTCTAATCCTCTCCCAGGTGATACTGAAGATTCTGCTCTTCTCCAAACCACACTTTGAATAACAAAGACCAAGAGTACCAGTTGGGGGTTATAAATATTCATAGAATGACCAAGAGATGAAGGCTGAAATCTTAATATTATTTTCCAGAAGTTTCTGATAACTTCACATATAACTGGAAAAGCAGAGTTTGGGTAACAGTGGCTGCTGGCCCCCTCTTTCCTGTGGCTCTGTCCCCTCTGCATGACTTGCCACACTGCTGAGGACCAGTTAGGTTTAATAGCCTTGATTTTTAAAAAATTACATTTCATTGAAGGAAAGCCTATAGTGTATTTTTATATTTTCCACCTCAGATTGGTAGTTCCCTGTAAAGAAAGGAAAAATGAGCTGGTCCAAAACCAACTTCCCCTAAAAAAGAGTTTCTTCCCTCTGTCCCTGACTCACCATGTTGTCTTTAAAATTAAAAATTAATTTTGATATAGTTATCATTGCTACCTGGACTTCTCTGTGTCAAAATGGTCTGATTGAAAAATGCTGAATAGTCTGAGTCCTGCCCCATATTTTTTAAGCTCGATATTATATCAAAGGTTTAAAAAATAGGTCAGGCACTAAGAAATTGCCAGGCTGAACTGTAAAGTGTGTGAGAATTGGAAAATTTTCTTGAAGTGAAGTAAACAGCTAAACAACGTACCTGTTGGATAATGGTTGAAAATATTGCATTGATATTACATTCGTGTGCATGGTTTCCAAAGAGATACTCACTGCTATGCTTCCTTCTGGGAGTTTTGGGGGCTGATCTCTATAAGGCATCTTCTTAACTTCAAAGGACACCAGGGATGTGACAGCATAGGGATCATTTTTCCTCTGAAAGCAGAAATATGTATTACATTTAAAAAATGTTTTTCTGGAACGGGGAATTGAATTCAGGACCTCGTACTTGCCAGGCAGGCACAGCGCCTCTGAGCTACATCCCTTGCCCTAAAAATGTGTACTTGTAAAGGTTCTGTTGGCAGCCACCCAATTGCTTCTATTTGTTTTACTTCTGTACGTGTTTCTATTCCCTGTGTGGGGTGGGGCCATGTACAGAACTTGTCTTCATTACTTTTCTCACCACTTCTCCGTCCCTTCCCCACTCCATCTCTTCATCCCCTTCCCATCCGAGAAAGATCTGTCTCTCGACTTCTTATTAGCTATCCTTTATTTTGCTTTTTATATGTCTATCCATAGATAAATCGATAAAGCAAATGTGGTATTTACACACAATGGAGTACTACTGTGCCGTAAAGAAAAATAAATTGGAGTCATTTATGGGAAAATAGATGCACCTTGACATCCAGTTGTTTCTTTCTTCGTGGTTTCTAATTCTAAAGCAAAATTTTGTCTTCCTTCATTCTTTTCTTTTTGTCTTTATTTTGCTTTGTCCCTTCCATCAATTCATCCATCCATCCATGCATCCATCCATCTACCCATCGTCCATTCCCTCCCTATTCCTAAAGGTCATTTGTGCTGTTCATAAAAGACTCATATACAAGGGTAAGATAAAAAATACCAGGGTCCTGAAAAAGGGGTAAGCAGAAATATTAAGATAGTTGCTATAATGAAGACCAAAGGGGGAGACACAGTGGGTTGTAGAGTTCTTGTTACCTGATAGAAGAAAATATTTTAGGAGAGAAAGTGGTACTCAGTTTTAAAGAAATGATAACATTTGACTTTATACAGAAGGCTCCAGCAGGTTCCAAGCCTTAGTGCTATTAGCATTTTCAGTCTATCCTCTGGCTGGTAGGATTCTCAGGAGCATCTCTGGCCTCTTTCTTCTAGATGCCCCATTTGGAACAAAGAGAAATGGCCCTGGTTATTGCAAAATATCCCCAGGGAGCAAAATGGCCCCAGTTTAGAGTCCCTGATCTACAGCATACAGCGTTTCTCATTGAACTTCTCAGAAGAAGGTCTGTGTTTAATTGGTTTCTTGTGTTGGCTCTTAATTCTAGTCACACACACACACACACACACACACACACACACACACACACACACCCCATTTTGGAGTGACTCTGGAAAGCTGCTTTGAGAACTTTGCTTCTGTAGTCTCCTCCATCGGAGACAGTGATTAGATCTACCAATGCCGTGCTGCAGCTGGGCTCAGACTGGCGCTGGAGGACCAGCTGTTAAACCTTCAGGAATTTCGAAGCCAACTGTTAAACAAAGGTATTATTAAGCCTTAAATTATATATGAGTAAACTGTATTTCTTGGAAAGTGATATACACTCAAAACTCACTACTTTCTATTCTATTATATTTTACTACTAACCACATCCCTGATGTTATTTATGTCTGTTGCATCTCTAAGAGGAAATGCTATACAGCCGTATGCTACTGTGTGTCTCTTCCTAGACCTGCATTTCACTGATGTTGCTGGCCTGAAATCAGCCAAGGTGGAAGCATTGACACCATAAAAAATGGCAACTGGTATATTTCAGAGCTTTTTGTCTTCCCTCCAGAGTGCATTTGATTAAACATTTACCAGTATATCAACATCTAAAACACAACTTGTATTTTAATGATTTTGTTCAAATATTTTTACAAAGTTCATTTGTTTCCCTGTGGATAATTTCTTTTCTCCCTTTGGTGAACCCCATTTTCTGTACATCATAAAGACAGACCATGGACTTTAATCTTTACGTATCTAGAGTTATTATAGCTTTGATTGTTTTCTTGCTTTGTACCTCTCTAAGCTAAATAATTCCATTCATTTGAAAAAAAATCTTTGAAAGAAGTCACTCTTCTGATGGTTCTCTTCTTTGCTAGCATTTCTATCTTAACTATAAGTTAGAGTTTCATTTGTATATTTGAGAATTGTTGTATCATATAAATGTTGCTCATAAAGTCTTGTGTGCACTTGGTGATTTTTCTCATTTCTTTACCACCTTCACTAGCAAATAGAGGAGAAATTCCAGTAATGAGCTTTTGTGGGTAAAGACTGTAACTGCATACTCACAAGAATGCTCATGCTCCCAAAACTTCAAATAAGAATCCTCCAAGGTCCACAAAATAATTTGGTAGAAAGTAATTTTCCCGCATTTGAAGTCGTATGTTTGGTAAACAAATTGTGTGAGAACTCCACCTCTAGGTAGAAAACTTGCCTCTTACTTGATTCTACATGTATGATTATGAAAGTTTCTTAACACATAAAATACAGGCTTTGAACTGTGGGAAGCAGAATGTGGAGAAACTTGTTTCTTGGAGGGAACTTTCTAGCTGAGCTCTTCCCAAGTTCTGTTCATTCCTAGTGTTTACTGTTAGTTCTAGTGGTCCACAAGCCATCGGACTTTGGCGGCACTTCAGAAACACCTATGATCTGTTTCAGAGGTTCTGATTCAATTCGTCTAGCCTGAGACAATATAGTTTCATATTATGGGCTTTTCTGCTTTTGGATTTTGCAGTCATGAGTCACATAATAGTGTTTTGGGCAACAAAGGACATATATCTGGTGGCCGTGCCATAAGACGTGATTGCCCAGTGGCATTGTAGCTGCCTCAGTCCCAGTAAATACATTGTATGATGTTTGTACAATGATAAAATAGTCTACTACTGTATCTCCTTGAGCATATCCTTGTCACTAAGTGATGGGAACTGACAAAATGCTGTAGTTTTCTCGACTCAATAGTACAAAAATGGAAAGCATAGCCAGTGGTGGCGAACTTATTACATACATGCTATTTTGTTTTCCTTTTAAGACCAAAGATGTTAATGTATAAGTTGCTTTTTCTCTAAGCTAACACCTCCGTATTCAGGTTTAATTGTAGTGTTGGCACTCTGCAATAAATAAGTGGGTTTTGAGCTGCTCTTTGGTCACCGGTCTCTAAAAGGTTCGCCAACACTGTAGAGCAAGGGATATATTTGTCTCATCCAAAGCACTTGGAATTGTGCATAGGGCTTAATAGATACTGGCTGACCAACCACAGGAATGAACAGTAAATTCACACAACCAGTCGTTTTCTCACTTGGTGACTCCTTGACCCAATGCTACCCATTGGATAGCATCTTTTACAAGCCTTAATTTTTAAAATGATTGAATTGCACACCAAAGTTGCATAAGGAGGGAGTGCTGGCTTTATTAGCCAACTCAGCCTTGCAAAGTCACATGCAAAGTGACACGGCCTAAAGGGTGATGGGAGCAAATCAGGTGGGAGGCACATAGCCTTCAAGGACTGCAACTCATAGATCAATCTGTTCTTTATTTTACAGTTATTCTCCAAAGGCAAAGATTCTTCATTCCTTTTCAACAGGAAAAAAAGTGCATCTTTTTCACTTAAAAAAGGCTCAGAGCACCAAGAAGTGTGAAAGGTGGGTTTTCAGGTCATGAACAACTGGGCTGGCATCAAAGATATGCTAGTCTTACATGGTAAGTCAAAGCCATGTTGTGGGTGAGTATTTCACTCATGAGAACCAATTATTTGCAGAGGAATGATATCAATTCCACTTTCAAAATGGAATGCTTTCAGTTGTGCTCTTTATAAAATAGCTAATATTCTTTCTATGTTAAAATGAAGCTCCTCTTCTGTACAGTAACCTATCCATGTACTAGCAATCATTGCCACAGGCAATTTAGGATTGAACCAACAGATCCTGGACCTTCATTTTGACCTAGATGGCTATTAACCCTCAGCAGGTGCCTGTTTCACTGTCATCACGGCCTCTTTTTGACTGTGGCTTGTACAACATTGTCTCCGTCATAAGCTGCTGGGCAGTGGGTTTGCTTAAACAATGGCACTAATAAAAGTTACTGAGTTGGCAACAAATAGGGAGGGGAGGAAGCTTCTGAACTGATTGAATATCGGAGCATGTCAGGTAATGTCAAGACCTCTCCAGCTCCCAACTTTGAATCACGCATTTCTTCTTGGTAATTATTTTTTAAAAAACACATGCATTTTATGAGCCCACATTTAACAGAAACCAAGCACTGTGAGGTGGCCAAACTCAAGAAATTACTGATAAAATTTCCTGGTGTAAATGTTTCCATTTTAAGCAATAATTGAAGAACAGAGGCTCATTTAGGATTCATCTAAATAAAAATCTCTTTTTGCTGACCAGTTTACTTATTTCCCACAAAGACAGAAACAAACAATGCAGAAAGCCTTGCCAACCAAGAATTGTAAGCTCTCTAGTCTGGTTTAGAAAGGCAGAAAATATTTGCCTCCTTCTAGATTATAGTGGTGAACTATTAAAATAAAACCCTAATACAGAGGGTGCTATATGTATGCACCAGTGTTTTCAGTAATGCATTCTTCTTTGGCATTAGACTTCTAAGATTGAAATAAACAAAAACTGAATAAATTTGAGCTACAGGTTGGGGTAAAAATGCAGCAGTGGTCTCTCCTTGTCTGTTACTCTCTTTCTCTCTGTTTCTATCTCTGTCCCTGTCTCTCTCTCCCGCCCCTGCCTCCTCTAGAAGTAACCCTTGGCCAAGAAGGCCTTCAGAATACTAATACGCATTGTTTGGATCTGACTCTCCTCATGCTATTTATTGTTTGGACCATCCCTCATTTACAAAGTGGCCTCTTCCAGGCCCACTGGGTCTTCTTTAATGGGGCAATTTAGGCACAACTTTCAGTCCACCGACTTCCTACTGGAATAGAATGTCATGTACTCTAAAAGAATCACTTTCCCCTGAACTACAGGGTTATAAGGGTAAGTCCGGTGTCACTGAAAAATTGTTCACCTTCATTTCAGCAGGATGTAATGCTCAACTAGGAGAAATATATGGTTGTCATTTAGACTGCATGGACTTGGGATTCCCTATAACAATCTCTCTTCCAGTTCTTAGTTAAGTGACAGCCACAAGGTAGAGTGACTCTAAGCAAACT